GCAGAGAAGAAGAAGGAGCACGAAAAGCCAAGCACGAGCATAGTTACAGTGACAACCGGTGAAGAAAATGACGTCAATATATTCCAGGTTGGAATTTAGATTTCGGGTTTTGTTCTAGAAAAAGAGGACCGAAAAACTCAAGAGTGCTTGAATTCCGCTTTCGAAAATTAAAGTTCCATGGTAGGTATCCATATTCAGAGGGTGCCTTACAATGGGCCGTTCTGGTATTTCAAATTTTTGAGGCTACTTTTCTCATGAGTGCTTTGACCAGCACTGCCTTTCCGCAGTCAGTATTCATGCATTCTTCAAACTCTGCTGAATTATTTCCTATATTTGAAACTGAATTCTGAAATCTCTGAATTTGCATTAGTTTCTCCTTATTCGGAAAGAAGGCATTATTTAAAACCCACTACCCCTTTTTTGAATTCCAGACCAAATTCCGGTCGCAATTTCTTCACATCCAGAACTGATTTGGCCAACATTTATCTGCGAGTAGTGCTTGACTCTTTTAACGTTCCATCTGTTCATAGCGAACACATCTGGCGCTGCGCTAAAGGCTCGGCGCGGAAACACCTCGAATCAGCAAATTTGCTGATCTTTCGCTGGAACAGTTTCGTCCGCTGAACACGAATAGCGTGTCATATTCAAGGGGTTATACTACCTGCAAAGGCTAAAATCAGGCAAATCTGCCCAGAAGGAAAATTTAGACCAAATCTGATTTGGCTTTTTTAAAATAGGGTAGTAGGGTATGAATAGTGCGAACACGTTATCCTCTACCCGAAATTGATGTCCTATATGATATGCTTTATAAATCAAGCTGTGAGCAATGCTGTCTAACACTTTGCCCTGCCATGCTGCTGGAAACATGTCGAACTTTACGACCACCTTTGTTTTCAGACTGCTTGCAAGTTACATTCGTTTGATAAGGAAAAGAAGGCATGGGTTGAACGAGGCCTTGCTCATATACGGATAAATCAGAGAAACGAAGATGGTGAAATTCACCATCGTATAGGTGAGTGATCAGTAGTTTCGTGGAATAGTCGTTTTTGTATAAGGAAAGTTACTAGTCTTCTTCACATTTCAATCCTCCGCAATGGGCCAGTTCCAATCTTCTCAGATTTCTCGTTAAATCTCTTCTGCATGTCCGAATGAGTCCACTTTTTTCTCTCCATTTACCTTGAAAATTTCCACAAGGTATAGTCATGACGGGCAAGGTCTAATCCGCTGTGACATAGAACCTTTCATTTTTTCCCCTCTGGGACACCAACCTTCCACCAGATTTGTCTGGGAGGATAAGAACACTGACTTGTACATCGGCTGGCCACCGCAAGTCATTGTATAGGCCACATCGCATTCAATAACCCACTACGATTTAAGTGAATGTAGAATGCGTGTGGCATTCTCGTCGATCTTCTCGATCTGTTGATCGTTGTCCATCACGCAAAAGGTATGAACAACAGCGAAGACGTTATCATTTATTACGATCGTTCTGATGAGAACGATGAAGATTGATTCTCTTCGAACTCCAGCGGAATTGAACTTCCTGAAAAGTTTTCGGGACGCGTTGAAATTCCAAGAACTCTCCTATAGTGCTTCCGTAGGAGTGGGTTGCATCCCTTCACTTTACCTACTTTTTTGATGTATTTCGTAAACTCTCACTCGGGCTTTTTTACTTTGCAGAAATCATGTATACGGAGAAAGTAGAGATCTTCCCTATACTCTTTTGTATGATGAAGTGACCTCTGAGCTTAGCGTAGAGCTGA